TGTTTCCTTTCCACTGTGTTGTATTTCAGTAGAGCTACCACAGGTCTGCTTCACAGGGTTCAGGAGACAAAACTCCTTGCAGATGACCCACACGTATTAAAGTCTATGAAGTTCCTGGGGACTCTTTATAGTTTGGTACATCATACCACCGAAATATGGGCTGTATTTCTAGAAACTGAGCAGGGGAGGGTTGTTGTGTAAATGTGCATGTCCGTCAGTCCTGATGGTTTCCACAGGAAAATGGGCAATGTAACAGAAATTACTGCTATAGTCTAGGCTGCCATAATGTCTAGGTACAGATCCTGGCTGGCAGGATTTTTCTTCTGCTCCAAAGCAATTCTGCCTGACAAGGTACAGCTACTTGTGCTTGCTGCAGACAAGCTCCACTAACTTTCATGTGACAGTGCAATTGTATTTCTGCTCTTTCCTTCTTTGTGTGTCCTGTGAAATCTCTTGCTGAGGCATTAGATACCGGAGTACCATCCCAGCGCATTAATTCTTCACTTGTTCTTTTGCAGGAAACAGATCTCATTCTGACCTTTAATATCTCAATGCATCGTTCGTGGTGGATGGAGAATGGGCCGGGCTGCACCGTGACCTCAGTAACCCCAGCCCCAGACTGGGCACCAGAGGATCATCGTTATATCACTGTCTCGGGGTGTTTTCTTGAATATCAGTATATAGAAGTGGCTCACAGTTCTCTTCAGATCTTCCTTGCAGTAAGTGTTTACAGATAGCTTCACCGCACCACCTTTTCTAGATTTCTACTTGCAGTTCGTCGTTACCAGAATAGCGGAGTATCGTGGCATTCATTCACAAACCCTCGTTCTAAGTGTTTGTTTTGTTATGAAACTGTGTCTTGCAGCTAGTTCAAGACACCTGTACCCGAAAAGCTCCAACATACATGTTTATTGCTGTGAGAACTGCTGACATGACACACTCTGTTTTCCTGACCTCCATTTTGACCATTGACCACGCCACAAATCTTTTATAGGTTATAAAAAACAGAAATTTTAAATCTTTTTAGGATAAGAATCCACTGTTACACTGCAAAAAATTTACAAGGAATGAAAACAGCTTGTTTTGGGGAAAACTGATAGGTTTTTCAACCATGTTTACCCATGCTAACCATTTTGCCTTGTGTTGTCTCTGACCAGGTGAAAAGATGACATAAACACTGAATTAATTACATTAAAGTACAATCTGCATTTTCGTTTGCTCTAATGATATGTACGTTTATGTTTATGCACAGGTGGAGATATATACAACTTCAAATAAAATTGTTACTATACATGTAAATATGGAACAGTGCCTGACTACACGAGTCCCTCTATATAAATTTTTTGTTCAAGAGATTCCAATGTTTTGTCCAAAGAGGGACTATACTGGCGAAAGAGAGAGGAGATTTGGTTAGCCAAATACAGAAATTAATGTAAGGCAGCTGGACAGTCAATAATATATAATGCGGCCCTCAGCTACCCTAAAAGTGAGCAGCTTTTCCATCTGTCTGTTCCCCAGCCCAGCCATAAATGGTCAAGTACCCTGTGAGTTCAGGACAATACATCTGTGTCAGTACATCTCTGCTGGGGCTCTGTGTGTAAAAGGTTAGTGGCTGATTCACCTGAAAGCCTAGCTGCCTCCCTTCAGTGGAGCCATCCCAGGTCTCCTCCATGCTCCTCAGTTTTCTGTGTTGTAGCAGAGGTAAGGGATCCTGAGCAAACAAGCAGTAGGTCAGGGACTAGATAGGTTTGGAAGACAAAAGCAGCCCTTTCTTGAGATAGTTCACACCTGCAATTTTGGCAAGTTAAGCTGATGCAAAAGAAAAAGAAAAGTGCAACAAAATCAGTGTGAATAAGTAAATAAGATTAAAATAGCTTTACAATTAAGATTAAAATAGCTTTGCAATTTTATTTACAAGCAATTATTACTCAAGATTAACTCATAGAATCACAGAATCATTTAAGTTGGAAAAGACCTTTAAGACCATTGAGTCCAGTTGTAAACCTAACACTGCCAAGTCCACCACTAAATCATGTCCCTAGGAGCCACATCTACACGTCTTTTAAATACCTCTGGGGATGGTGACTCAACCACTTCCCTCGGCAGCTTGTTCCAATGCTTGATAACCCTTAGAAATTTTTTCATAATATCCAGTCTAAACCTCCTCTGGTGCAACTTGAGGCCTCTTGTCCTGTCACTTGTTACTTGGGAAAAGAGACCTACACCCACCTCATTACAACCTCCTTTCAGGTAGTTGTAGACAACGTTAACAGCTCCCCTGAGCTTCCTTTTCTCCAGAATAAACAACCCAGTTCCCTCAGTTGCTCCTCAGGAGGTTTGTTGTCTAGGCCCTTCACCAGCTTCGTTGCCCTTCTCTGGACCTGATCCAGCACCTCAGTGTCCTTATTGTAGTGAGGGGCCCAAAACTGAACACAGGATTCAAGGTGCGACCTCACTCACCAGTGCCGAGTACAGGGGCACAATCACTTCCCTAGTCCTGCTGGCCACACTACTGCTGATGCAGGCCAGGATGCCGTTGGCCTTCTTGGCCACCTGGGCACACTGCTGGCTCATGTTCAGCCGGCTGTCTACCAGCACCGCCAGGTCCATTTCTGTCAGTGAGCTTTCCAGCCACTCTTCCCCAAGCCTGTAGCGTTGCATGGGGCTGTTGTGACCAAAGTGCAGGACATGGCACTCAGCCTTGAACCTCATACAGCTGGCCTTGGTTTATCAATCCAGCCTGTCCAGATCCCTCTGTAGCACCTTTCTACCTTCAGGCCCTCAAAGGAGATATCAAAGCCTGTTTTTTTTTTTTTTTTTAATGTAATGAATGATGAAAAAGAAACTCAAGAAATATATTGTTCAAGGTCAATTCTGTTCCTGATGCCACAAGGGGTTTTGTGTGTTTGTGCCTAAATAGAGCTGTGTTTCTGAGTAAGGTCATTCTTTGCAAGCCAAGGGAATGGTTAAGAATAACAAACCTTTGGTAATCTGCTATCTCTAGCCAACTATAGCTGTTTTTATATTTCTGTTAATGTTACTATAAATGTAATTGTCATTAGGTAAAGAGCTACACAGTGTAAGTGTGAGTCAATTTTCCAAACCTGGTCCCTTTACTGTTTAAATAATTTTCAAATTTCCAAATGTGGGTATGGGGTTCTTTTTCTAACAGAAATGCTAGCATAAATTCACTATCATATTAAATGCAGTGAGAAATAATTACCTGGTACTGCTCAGTGACATAACACAAAGTTAGAAGACCAGATATTACTTGGTTTTCAGCAAACCAGCTTTCAACAAAACGGAGCCTTAGATCAGCTTTATCTCCAAATAGTAGAAATAAATTAATCTTTCCTTTCAATTTTCTTTTATGGGCACTTAAGTGGATCTTGCACTTTAACTGTAAATTGCAACCTACAAATTGGTTACTTACTTTCTATTTGTATTTCTGTATGTTCATGACAATGATCAAGGTACTGTTGATCTTGTCTTCTTCCTGGACTGGTAGCACTGCAGCATGTTTTTAAGGATGTTTTCTACTGCCTACAGATAAAAAGTTACAAAGACATTCAGCTTCATTGAGGCCCACTTATATCAGTCTTTGAAAACATTGTACCGAGTGTATTTTGTACAGCTTGCCACTAAGCTCACAAGAAATCTGTCTGCAGAAGGTTAGGCTTCACATAGATGTGATATTTGCTGTGGATTACTTCGTGGAAAGAATGTGACAGCTAAGATAAAAGCTATAAAACCCCCATGGTTTATACTTTTAGTCTAAAACACAAATCTCAAGTTGGGCTGTGGAATATTTCAAGGATTGCAGACGTACTCTGCTGAGAAGGTGCAGAATACTCATAGTCTCCAAGAGACCATCCCTCCCCAAAGGAACCTGTCCTAGGAGGAAACCATCAGATTATGAACCATACAAATGCTGGTACTAATATTGTGCAAGTCAGCACAGATTTTTTTAAGTCAATTTTTAGAGAGTTTTCATTTCTCCTACTGCTTAAACAAAGTAGTAATTAAAGCAACTGGAAGGTGAAATAATCCCAAAGGTCAGGAGGGCCTCCAGTGTGCAGAGTGGTGTTCACTCTGGTGGCGTTCATTGCATAATACCAGCCTTAGAGACTAAGGAGAGACAGACGTGATGATGCACAGTTATTTTGCCATCTTCTCCTGAGGAGTGGATTTAGCTCAGGGTCAACAACTGGACAAAATTGTCAGTTTTGCTCAGGCTGAAGAAGTAACAGACAATTCAGTTTGTTGGTCTCTATACACTGACCAGATGAATGCTCATGGTTTAGAAAATCTTCAAAATGGGGAAAAATTATTTGAGAACTAATATGTGCAAGAAAATGCTTTGATAAAACAAGGATTATCCCAATTTGGATATTTAACATTTACATATGCAATACAGGACTGGAATAACCCACAGTGATAACTCCTTTGTCCCATGACACAGAGCACTTAGTGCATTAGGTGATTCTGATGGAATACTACAGCCTCTCTAGAGCCTATCAGAGCCTATTTATATCTGTCTTGTAGCCATTCCCATGTCAGTACATTACTTCTTCCTCAGCCGCTGTCTGATTTTTTTTTCATGTTTATGGAAATCTATTTTGAAAAACTTCCACTGATTTTTCACACAGTTATTGTGGTACTTGCCTCTCTGAAGTTGTACAGCACCACAATCTCAGTGCCACACACCATGCTTGTCACTTTTTACTCTGTGCTCTGTATCAACATCTCCCATTTGGTTCTTTTGAGACTGAACCACATTGCTACCACTTAATCTTTACATCTTGCCATCTTCTTCCAGTGAGTTAAAAAAAGAGAGGGATTCAGAGGGAACAAGGGAGAATGCAAGGGAGGGGAATCTATTTCATTCTTAAGTGCAGCTTTGCAGCCTACAGTGCTGCAAAATAAACAAACATTTTTAGGACACCACCTGCAGCACACAGCTGTATGGAACTGAACAGAACTGCTAAGGGTGTGATTTCTTCTGCCTTGTGTGAAACCCTGGGGACTGGGAAAACCTGTGGGAAAGGTATTTCTGTGGAACAACTCCCTCCTTTCCTGCCCTCCCCAATTCTTGGTGAATATCATAGCTGAATCTGTAAAGGTGAGATCTTAACTTCATTGTACTTTGACAGTCATTTATTAAATTTATTTAATGCTGTGCTGATACATGGAGAAAAAAATGCATCATTTTGGCCACAGCTAATTAATTTGTTTTGTTGCACAAAGCTAACCCTCAATGCACACTGTGCTCACATAGTGGGCAAAATTCTTCCCTCAACTCTTCTCTCCCAGGGGAGTCACATTGACATAGGAGCCGTGACATCTTGAGCACCTGGACCATCCAAAGTACACTGCAAAGATCACAAGTCTGCCTGTCCTTGGTGCCTACAAATTGCCAAAATGAACTGGTCTGGTGATGGCATGACTTGGATACTCATATGCTTCATACATTAAAGTGTCCTTATGTGCTTAATGGTTATTGATTCTTGCTGCTTACATCAGAGAAGCTATTTCATTTTCAGGACTACTGGGTTATCAAAGACAGATATGCTTAAATTACTGACCTCTGGAGATAATTGTTCCAGGTAAAGAATGACGTCAGTGGTACTAATGGAGGTCTGATTTGCTACTGGTTGTTAAATTTGGGTTGCATTCTGTATAATATTAACAGAGTGGAGGCTGCATAAAAGTTCCCACC